CACTCACACAACAATCTCCTTCAGTAACCCATTCCCTTTTGTGGCTCTTGGGCCGTGTAAAGAGTGAACCCGACCACTATAATCTTAGCTTGTTTATGTCTATGGTAAGCTGTTATCTTTCCTACATATCCACATAACCTGCACCACTTACTTTTACCACTTACACAACAATCTCCTTCAGTAACCCTTTCCCTTTTGTGGCTCTTGGGCCATGTAAAGAGTGAACCCGACCACTATAATCTTAGCTTGTTTATGTCTATGGTAAGCTGTTATCTTTCCTCACATATCCTTATAACCTGTGCCACTTACTCTTACTACTCAAACAACAATCTCTTTCAGTAACCCTTTCAATTGAGTGGCTCTTGGGCCTTGTATAGGGTGAACACTATTAATTAAAAATAAATAAATTTAAGCTACATTTTAAATTAATTATTTATTTCTTATGCTGACATCAAGATGTTATTGATGCTGATCTTTAAATGGACAAAGACCCAAATTGATCGGTGCCAATTCTTCCTCATTTATCCATACTTTGATTTTCTGGACTTGGATTATCTGGACGTGAAACGAAGGGAAAAACTGAAATCGTCCAATCATTTTTCAGTTATCCAAAATCATACCTATTGCAATATTTCATCTCAGTCAAGTATTTTGACAATTCAGAAGACCATAAAATCAGCTCAGCTTCAATAATTTCTTGTTAATTTTCTCCTCATTTCAATTATTCCAGCTTCAATTACAGATTATGGTTTATGCATTTTCTCATGAAAAATAAATTGATCAAAATATTTGAGAATATTATTTGGTGTGACGAATGTTAAATTTCTCCTGGAATTTTGACTTATCCAAACTTTTTTGAAACCCCTGTATCAAGACGTTAGGATAATTGAGGAAGTGCTGGAGTTATTACGCAGTCAGTGTAATTGGTCAACAGTGTTCCAATTCTGATAACGTCTGTTGTGTTCACACTAATGCCCTTGGGAAAGGTATGAATTTATCTCTCTTCTTGCCAACAATGGATCAGTAGAGTCGATTTAGTTGGGTACCAGTCTAGTTGAACAACTCAAATTTAAAACCATGGAAAAGGCCACAGGAAACCACTAGCCTCTTTCTCAAGAAGTCATGACAATTCAAGGGCAGCTGTGGATGACCATCACCTTTTACATCCTGAAAGAACAGTAATGATGAATATAAACTGCTTTAATAACGTTAATGTATATATTAGAATTTATTTGAAATAACCACAAAAATGTATCATTATCTTTTTTTTTTTTAAAGATTTTGAATTAAGCTTTTTTTTTTCTTTTTTTTTTTTAAAAAAAAAATTTCATTTTTTAATTGGATCGTGATTACCACCTCCTTTATTTATAAATGTCTAATAGTCTCATTACTTTATTTTGCATAAAATAAAATGTGTGTAACTAAATAAATATTTACTTATAAAGATCGACTCCTTTCTCCTACCATGCTTTTCAATATTTAAAAAAATTTTTTTTTTACTTCATCTTCTTTTATTTTGTAGGTACCAAAAGTAGTCTTTTTTGTTCGAAGATAACAATTTGTTTTAACTAATAACCATGAGAAACTGTTTACTAGAGTATTTTAATGTTTTTTTGTTTTTTTTTTTTTTAATCCCGACGTAAGCATCGTATTTGACGATTCTAAACGGTTTGTATTATTATCTCTCATGCTTTCTCTTCATTCCTCTTCTTGTGTGTATGGGTGCGTATGTTGAGTGTTAAGTTCTAGCCTTAACCTCTGACTTTGTTCAAAGTTCATTGGTCCAAAATCACAGCAGATGTACATTGCCATGGCTACTACCCCAGCCTCTTTACCTCGCTTTCCTCTCCTCGTCTTTCCTTCCTGACAGGCAGGAAGCTATGGAGGAGCTTATCAGATGTTTGCGTGGCACAGACTGCAGCTGTTCCTAAAATCTGCCTATAACAAAAGTGAGTGTTGGTCGTCCTTAGACCCTTTTTACTATCCACGCCAATGTGCGTGTGTGTTCATAACCTCACACGCACATTGGCGCGTGCGTTCGCACCCTACTATTACCATCGTCATTGTCATCATCAACAGCAACTCGGCTTTTTATTTTATTTTATTCTATTTGGACGGCCCCTTGTTTTTTAGCTATAACGGGCCCTGTCTATTGGATGAAACCTGGTTTGTGGAACAATTTAGAGAATGAAAACTAACTTGCTGTGTTGAGTGTGTAAGATTTTATTTATTATCGTTTGCCTCTCATTCTTTTTATTTTTTTATTTTTCATAAACTGTGTGTAGTAGTGTTTAAAGTTAATATTTCCATTTCTCCCTCTCTTTCATTTTATATTTTATTTTTTTTAACCGCACCCACCTTTTCTCTTTGCTACGTCGTCCTCTTCTTCCTCAGTCTGTCGTCACATTATCAAGGACATTTTGGGTCAATTTCTCCTCATCAGTCTCTTAGTGGAAGTTGTTTTTTTTTTTAGTTCTTAATGGGGGGGGGATAACTGATTTCTTTTTTTTTTTTTATCTACCCCGTCTTCTTTCTAGTTTCTTTCAGATTCCACCCCGACACTTTCTTCAACCCTCTCTACGCTAAGTTCGCTTTGTCACCAAACATCCTCCTATTGACCACCAAAAACGTTTCTAGCTACTACATCATCATCGTCATAATGATCTCTAATATCGGTGACCATGTGCGTGCGTGTGTGCGCGTGAGAGAGAGAGAGAAAGAGAGATGCACACGCGTCTTCTTCCTCCATTCCCCCCCCACACTTCGTGTTCCTGCTGCACTGTAACAGTGTCTGTGTGTCTATGTTGCTTAACAGTTCATTCTCCTCTCCTAAGACTAGTGTGAAGAAGATGACGACATTGCTGAGGAAAGCCGTTGTCCCTTGTGGACACCCTCCCCATTATTGCACGTCATCCAGTCTGTCCATCCATCTCTCTAGCCAGTCTCCCTTTTGGCCAGCTTACTACAAGCCGATTCTTTTCTATATTCTAGAAATGTCTTCCTCTGGTGCCATCAACTTCCTATTCCCCTGCTCAAGGCTTCAGTAAGGCTTCTTAAGCTTTCTTCACTATTTAACTTTTTTTTCTCTTTTTTTTTTTTTTTTTTCTTACCTGCCGAGTAGTGTTTTAGATAGACGTCCTACCTGTTTTTTTTTTTTAACCTCTTTTTATTTGTCGCCTGCATTTTAAGTTTGTTTTAATTTTACTTTTAAATCTTTCATTTCAGCCTGTCCGATTTTTTTGTTTAAAATTTTAAAACAATCTTTTGTAAATTTAGACTTTTTTTTTAATATTCAAATTTCTATTCAAATGTGTTTTAGAAGCTAGTGAAAAAAATGTAACTTCAAAGCTCTTTTTCCCCACTTTTTAATTTAAAAAAAAAAAAAAAAAGTTTATCTTTTCTTAACTGGATGCCTTTTTTTTTTCTACTTTATTTTATTTTTTTCTCTTTAATAACCAACTCCTGCTAAAAAAAAATTGTGTGTGTATGCCATTTGTGCTTCTTGCATTCGACACTGGAGTAAAAGAGATAGACAAGATATTGTTATTTTTTTGTCATTAACGCGATCAGGATTCATTTATATAAATTAAGTGTGAAATACAAATATCATTTTTCAATATTTGTATATTTCATGTGTAAAATTCGGAATTATTACCCTTTTAAATTACGATCTTGAAGCTAAAGCAAACATTTAGTCACTGATTATTATTATTAAGTATTAGCTGGGGGTACACCTCCGTTGTTACCCGCCACATTATTCTCCTTTTTAAATAATGTCCCAAAACAATTCCTTGTCTGCCTCTCATTCTCCTTCCTTTTTTCTTTTTATGTAGCTTGCCTAACACACTGACCTCCTTCATGGTGGTTTTTTTTTCTTATCTCTTTTTCTTGTTTTGTGTTTAAAATTTCTCGCTTCGTTGTGCTCGCCGTCAGCTCCCCCAACCCATGTTTGTTGTAATGTCCACCCAGGTACGATGATGTCATGCAGTATGAGCAAAAGAATGGTCTTTGTAAACGAAACTGGCAAGTTGCAGGAAGGGTCATTTTGCCTTATTAGTGAAGGAAGGTGTAACTGGGAACTCAGGTTATGAACAAATATTTTTCAACTGGGTATTTAAAATCCAACGTGTCCATTAAGTTAGTATCTCAAAGCAAATGTTTTTTTTTTTTTTTTTTAAATGGTAAAATAAATTAAAAATAGCAGTGGTATGTTAGTTTTCCATTGCGTTTTTTCTTTTTCTTTCTTTCTCTCTTGCTTTAAAATCCAGGTTCGGGAGTTCGCTATGGAGCAATAATCAATGGTTCCATTTGAGTTCTTGTAATTATGGTGATTCGATTTCTCACACCTGTGGCCTTTTTTGACACACACACACACACACATATATATATATATATATATATATATATATATAAGATATATATAATATAAATATATAATTTCAAAGATTATTAAATAAATCATTTCTCCCACTTTTTTTTCAAATCACTCTCTCCCACAATATTCTACAAGATTGCTTAGTGTAAAAAAAAAAAAAGTAGTTCTTTTGAGTCGAACCAAAGTATAAAGTACTTACTGTGTCAGTTCCGACAACAATTGAATCTTTAAAAAAAATGCAAAAACCAAATAGAAAGAGACGTGAATTGAAAACGGTGTTAATTCTGTGTTTGAAAGTGAAATAGACGTCCTCCTTTTTTTTCCGCTCTTGTTTGTTACCTAGCAACCAAGTTGCCACGTTTCCATAGTAATATGATGCCTACTGGGAAGCAAAGCGGGTCACCAGCTGGAGCACTAGATATATCACATGGCACACTTCCCTCTCTAATGCGTGCGTGTGGGTGCTCTTTCTCATTCCGCCTTGTACTGCTTGGTGCTTGGTTAGGCAGGGTTGATGATAGCTTGACTGAGACTGGTAACTACCATCACTGCTACTGCTGATTTTGCCGCCCCTGTCAGTAGCTGCGATACTGTGAGAAAAAGAGAGAAAGAGTTTTGACTCAAAATGTTTCTTCTGTTAGTGTCTGAGACATGCTGTCTCCGTTTCTCTCTCTATAACGCGCTTATTTTCACGCTCACTATCATCACCTTGCAAGGTCCCTCTGTCATATGCGTAGATATTGTCTGCATTCACACACGCACTTATCAATATGGAATGCTAATAACTTTGAATCTTGATTTTCGTTTGTTTTTCAATCTACACATGCATGTATATAGAGAAATAGATTCTTTGAGGGTGTTCATTTCTCTCTTCTTTTACTTAGTGTTACACCTCCAAATCATTTGGGCCAACCGCGGCCAAATGAATGGGTAAAATTTATTAGTTTACCCGACCGGTATCGTTTAAAAAAGTGGGGGTGGGGGCAGTAAATATCTCCGTCATTTTTTTGTATTATTATTATTATTATTTTTTTACTATTATTTATATTTTCTTGATAAATAATTTTTATCTTTGCAATTCGCACATGAAAAAAAAAAATTCTGCTTTTCAAATCATTAAAAATAAAACTAACAAAAAAATGAAAAAAAATGTATCAATTGGGTTATGTTAAAAAAAAAATCGTTCATTTATTGACGTTAAGTTTATATCTCATTATCTTAACAACGGTATATCTCATTTGTGAGAAAAGTAGAGTAGGTCATGTGTGACTGGTAAATATTTGAAGTCACCTAGGATACCTTTGGAATTACTCGGGTTGTTTAAAGGTGACTTCATTTTTAACCCTGCCGCCCTCTTCATTTTTTTTATATTTACTATCTGACACACTGTCTCATTGCATATATTATTGGCCCAGCTGAGCATTTTCTTTCAACTATCTCTGTTTATGTTCTCTGACTGTGCGCCAGGGATGTGTTATGCTTGGTCGGTTGTGGATTTAATTCTACGACACCACTGCAGCTTGCTGCTATATAGTCAAGGTGATGAGACACATTGAATAGACAACTATGTTTATCTCGATGATTGTTGAAGAGAGAGAAAACGGTACGAGAAAGAACTCTAACACTTTCTATTTGGTGGGGGTGGCTCTCCTCTTACTGCATAATGGGACAGTTGCAATGTTAAAACTGTCACCTTGGTTCTCCCTCTCTCTCCATTTCTCACACCTTGATTTTCTCTTCTGGACAGTGCTTTTGTGAATAGCAGTTAGTGTTCAGTTTTATCAATATAAACAGTTCTCTTCTTTTGGCAATTTAATATCCTTTTTCTAATTCTTTAACAAAAACGGATTTTATTCTGCAAGTTAATGTTTTCATAATAAAACTGGTATGGATCAACTGGCAAACTTGGATCTTCATACCCGCAAACAGATTTCAAATGGATGTTTTGTTTTTGTTTTTCCCTTGACACCATTATTATTTTAACTACCTTCACTCCTTGGCAGTGTTTATTGTTTTAAAAAGCAGCAAATAGAATTGTAATAAAACCTAAACTTACAATGAAAGTGAATTTATATATTTTTTTGTTCTTGAGAATTTACAACAAAGATATTAAACATTATTTATTTATTAGATTGTTTATTTACAAGAATAATTTTATATTTACAACATTTTAAAAACTAATACAATTAAAACTAATGTAATGCAGTATTTATCATTTACCAATTTCTAAAATAAATATGAAAACAATTTTTTATTCATAAATTTATAAGCATTTACTAAATTATTAAAATATGTGCATTAAGTGGAAGTAAATCCTTATTATTTACCATTTTATAAAGTTCAAATCAATTGGCAATTAGCCAATGTTTTGCAACCATTCCAATAAACAATTAAAAAAAAAATGTATAAATTCACTTTCATATGTTTAGGTTTTATTACAGTTCTAATTATCACTTTTTAAAACAATAAACATTGCAGAGGGAGTGAAGGTAATTAAAATAATAGCAGTGTCAAGTGAAAAAATGTTGTTTTGATATAAGGGTTCAAGTTTGCTGATCGACTGATGTTATTAAAACTTGCAAGTTATATTTATATAAACAGTATATCACCATAGTTGATTTTGAATTCTTGACGTTATTGACCTAGGGAGGCAAAATGCCACAGGTTAACCCAAGTTTTGTGAATGGAATTGTGTAGAAGGAATTGTTCATCAATGATTCTGCTAATTAAATGCACAGAATTATTACAAGTTTTTGGAGAAGGCATTTTTTGAGTGGTAAAGTTCCCAAGAAAATGTTTTCAGCTTGATTGTCATGTGTCATTGCAAGACAATGTTTCTGCACACTATGCAAAGCTGACTTTTACCCACCTTGCTCTGAAAAAGGGGGTCCGAAGAGATATCAAATAAATCGAATGACCACCAACCTCTAGATATTAATCCAATTGTAAACATGTGGATCATCGTTAAAAGAAATGGATATGAGAGTGATAAACAATATTCAAGCAAAGGCAATCTCTAAAAAGCAATAAAAACTTCTGTCAGTTACGAGCAAATTTATTGTGAAAACGTTTACCTGCTTAATATCTGGTATAGTACATATATATATATATATATATATATATATATATATGTGTGTGTGTGTGCAGGTATTCACTTAAACTGTATTTTTTTTCTTCACTTTACTTGATAATGTCCCTTCACGCCAAAGTACATACTTTTAGTCTTGTTCTTTTACATGGCATATAATTTTAGGATACGGTGGGTCATGAATGTTATTCATATCTTTGTATCTCGAAGCAATATTTGTTCTCTTTATTATCCCGCCCAGTTTCTATTATTTATTCTCTTATTGACCCTTGCAGTCCCTATTATTTGTTCTCTTATTATCCCTCATAGTCCCTATTATTTGTCCTCTTTATTGTCCTTCCCAGTTCCTATTATTTGTTCTCTTATTGTCCATCCCAGACCCTATTGTTTTCTTAATTGTCCCTTCTAGTCCCTATTCTTTATTGTCCTTCCCAGTCCCTATAATTCTCTTATCCCTCACAGTCTGTTATTTGTTCTCTTATTATCCCTCATAGTCTCTATTATTTGTTCTCTTTATTGTCCCTCCCTGTACCATTATTTGTTCTCTTATCCCTTCTAATCCCTTTAATTTGTTCTCTTTATTGTCCCTCCCAGCCCCTATTATTTGTTTTCTTATCCCTCAAAGTCCCTATTATTTGTTCACTTTAATCTCCCTCCCAGTCCCTATTATGTCCCTATTATTTTTTATTTGTCCCTCCTAGTCTCTATTATTTGTTCTCTTTATTGTTCCTCCCTGTCCCTATTATTTGTTTTCTTATCCCTTCTAGTCAATATTATTTGTTCATTTTCTTTTTTGTCCCTCCTAGTCCCTATTATTTGTGCTGTTTTTGTTTCTCCCAGTCCGTATTATGTCCCTATAATTTGTTCTCTTACTGTCCCTATAATTTCTCTTATCTCACACACTCTATTTGTTCTCTTATCCCTACCAGTCTTTATTATTTGTTTTCTTTATTGTCCCTCCTAGTCCCTATTATTCTCTTATTGTCCCTATTATTTGTTCCTTCTAGTCCCTATTTGTTCTCTTTATTGTCCTCTCAGTCCCTATTATTTGTACTCTTATCCTTCTAGTCCCTATTATTTGTTCTCTTTATTATCCCTCCCTGTCCCTGTTATGTTCTCCATTTACACAATATCTTTTTAGCAATGAAAATTAAGATTCTTGTGTGTTTTTTTTTTCTTTTTTTCTTTTGGGACCTTGGTAAAAAAAATTTGGGGACAAAGATGTTTGAAATAGTTTAATTTAATCAAAGTGATGAAATTTCAAAGAAATTGCTCACATTTCAACCAAAACAAACAAACTTTTTTTTGCTATTCTTTTACCTTTATACACTGCATCATGCATGATTAGCCACTTCGTGTTTTAATGATATATAAAATAAATATAAAGGTTTATTTGCTGAATGGTGATAATATCTATTTGTACTGCAATTAGGATGAAAGCCGTGGTTTGTCTGGAACGTATAAAAAGAAATGGCAACCATTTGTAAGAAATTTCTTGAATCTTGAAGTCTCTTTATATCTACATTGCAAGTTTTAAAGATTTAAAATGGGTCAGTCATAAGGTGGGCATGACTCGGAGATTATAAAAGAAATACTTGAAATTGCAAAAATGATTGGCAGGTGTAACTAAACTGAAGAAGTTCATTGAAGATCCTGGACAATTCTGTTGCGGATTTGATTAGGGCAAATTGATTAGGCCAATCAGCGTCCTGTTTTATAAAAATTCCATCTTTATCAAGCTATGAAAATTTTATTGTTTGATTTATTTTTTACGGTTTATCGACTGTTTTAAGGTTATTTAAAGCCAAAACATATTTTTGGATTGTAAGAATTTGGATATAATGATTTTCTGATACAAGTTCTACTATTTAACCCATAGCTGGGAGGCGAAGAGGTGGGGGTGTACCTTTCTCAAACATATTTGCATGTAAGTCAATATAACGAACACAACTGAAATTTGAACTCGGCTCTCTGATTTCTCATTTTGAGTCATTGTTCGTTACGCCACCTGCACATCCAAGTCTACAGCATCTGGTATTCTCAAGTTGTCAGGACCTAAATTGAGTCATAAAACATTGAGATTATGACCATATGCTCCCTTTGAAAAAAAAAATTTAAAAATAATCAAATGAAATGGACAGTAAAATACTTGAAATCCAATTTTTGAACCATTCTTTTCATTGAACAATACCGTACTGCTCTTCATAATCTAGAACTTCATAGTTGAAACAAAGGTTGGATGCTTGCTTTTTCCCTTTTAGCATCTTTGAAAATATTTTGCAATATAAAATTAATATTTTTAGATTTTTGTAACATCTTTAGATGTATTTCTGTAAACTATATATAAAATGCAAATGTCAGCGTGTCACACTTTTTCAACTTTATTCATAGAGACCGTAGTCCAACACATCATACCATTTTGGAATCAGGCCTACTCCGTGAGCATTTTGGGCCGGATCTGGACCTGTAATCTTGAAATTTTCAATTCCTGAGTTTTCATTACTGTGTGATTGTTTTATGACAAATGTTCTTATACAAAAAGAATTTTTATGACTTGAAAATAAATTTGGGAATGTATGAAAAGTAAGGACCTACGTACATCAAATTATCTTTAAATTAATTGGTGGCAGAAGAATTATTGTTGAACTTTTAAAAGGTAAACTTAAATACAATGATCTATTTTGAGTTCTTCTGTAGTTTATTATTGCCTATTGCATATGACAGCAGTATGTCTCACAAAAAGATATCTCTGCCAACAGAGGACCAGATTGCAATCAAAAGTGCCAAGACCTCAGCAAGAAATATAAAGTGCCATACAAATGAAAACCCAGATCAAATGACAGCCAGGAGGACTTCGAATGCTGAGAATAGGCAAAGACTTAAGAACTCTTGAACAAGCCAAAGGCCCAATCAAGAGCCTTCCATAGGGTGGCTTTTAAACTAGTTATCTATAAATGCATCCTTACTGGGAAGTGTTTTAATAGAGGTTGGAAAAATGTGAAACCAAAATCCAAAAGTGCTTTTGAATAGAGAAAGATACCTTCTAAAAGCTAAGCAAAGTATTAAGATACAAGACATTTTAATTAGAAACTCTAGAAAAGAGTGCTGATCTGTTATGTAATATCAATCCTTCTATATAGCAGTGAATGCTAAATAGTATCTTCAACAGCAATGTGGTTCTACAGAAGGATGCTGAGAATATCATGGATTGAACATGTGTGTAAGAAGTAAGTTTTAAGGATAATGGAAACCAAAAGGATTCTTATAGAGAGAGTTGAAATTTTTCGGGCATATAAGGAAAGAGGGCTTGAAGGATTTAACATTCATAGGGACATGTTAAAGGCAAGTGAGACATAGTAAAACAGAGTAAACCTGACTAAGAAGCTTGTGTAAATAGATGTCAGATCAGGGAGTACAAGGGATCGGGGAAAAGACAAATCTTAGTAAAAGCTACAATGGATAGGAAATTGTGGAGAGCTGTGATCACTCTTGCCATGAAGAGACATGACACATAGGAGATTATATCCAAATATATCCCATTATTTTCTCATTTATTGTTTTAACATATCTTTTTCTGAATGATTTCTTTTGTGCACGTTGTTTATTTTCTTTTCATGTGCACGCAAGCATGCAGACAGTGAATGCAATGTATTTTGGATTTAACCTTACCCAACTCTTTTGCTTACCTGAGTGTGAGAGTGTGGGTGTGTGGACAAAACATTTATCAAAAAATAAATTTGTTTAGATCAGCAATATATTTGAAGTGTTTTTCTTTTTCTCTTCTCATGAGTTTTTCTTTTTCTTTTTTCTTTTTTTTTCTTTTTCAGTACCAACTTGGTGAGGATTTTATCTCACGTTTTTATTAACCATTATTATTATTATTATTATTTTTTTTTGTCTCTCCTTGATTGAACAGAGTTCTGATTATCAAATGGAGCAAAAAAGTCCTGTTAAGTGATTAAGAATTGCTATAAAAATGTCTTCAGTCATCAGTTGCATGACGTGTTTATTAATTTTTTTTTTTTTTTATTTCTAAGCATTTAGCACTTACCAAAGTTCCAAGAAAAAAAATCTTATTTAAAAAAAATTTTGTCTCTTTTTCTTTCCAAATCTTTGTTTTGGCAGTTGGATTGCTTAATATTGATATTTTTTTTCCTCTGAAAACTATTAAAAAAAGAATATTAATTGAATATTACTAAACCATCAAAAAAAAAAAAAGGCGTAATAGCTTCGAATACATAAAAGCTTTGAGAAATTTACTTCAATATTTACTATAACTTGATAATAAATCAATAAAATACTTAAAAAAAAAAAGAACACGTCCCTTTCTGGACTGACTAATGTGATCATGAGTTTCCACAGATTACTTTCCTTATCTGTGAAAAGCCATGACTTCTTCAGAAAGATAGGATTTGCTGCTGCTTTTGTTTGGAATTCAGTTTTTTGACTCTTAAACTGGTTGCCACTCAATGCTAGGAAGCTCAGTCTACTAGGCTATTTAAGCCATGGCTGGGAGAAGAAATAAATTCATGCCTTTCCCAAGTGCATTTATGCAAAAGTGAATGTAACAGACAAGGCCAGGAATTGACCTGCTTACTGATTCTATTATTGATTCTATCACTGATTCTAGTTATTTGTTATGGTAACCACACATCCTAAAAAAATTACTGTTAAATGCTTGAATTCATGTGTATTGACTTGGTATCTTCAATTTGATTTCAAAGTGTTAGTGAAAGATGTCTAAATGAGTTTCTCTCATAAAAATGTTAGGCAAAATTTGATTATATTTAACTGGAAGTGATTTTTTTAATATTACTTTGAAGATTAGATAATTAAACACAGGAATATGTAGACCCTTTGTAATTTTGAGATGTATCATTATTGTCCCAAGAATTTTTCAGGATACTGATTTCATTTTTATTTCCACTGCTTTCCTTGTGTGTCTACTGGGAAGAAGTCCATAGAATTGATCTGAAACCTTATAGCAACAAGAGAATGAAACCAGAAGTCTGAACAACTCTTGAAAATTATTAATTCTTTAAATAGCAGTTCTCTTTCTGTCTCTATCTCTGAGATGAGGTATTATGATTACTTGCATTGTTTACAATATTCGGACTGTTATCTTCATCTTCATTGTCATATTCACAACGTTTCGGCCATTGTACGCTCTGGCCTTCTTCAGGTGATTGGAATTTCGAACTGAACCATTTTTTTTTTTTTTGTCCACCAGGGTAGATTGTTCTAGTTCCACATACCATGCTTCTTCTGGATGTCTCAGTTATTTCCCTTTTAACTCACCTCTCCAAGTTTTGGTATTGAACTCACAATTCTTTGGGTCTAATCACTGGATCTAACCAACTTCTTTATCTACTGGGCCATGTATCCTTGTGGAAGAGGTGTGGCATGTGGAACTAGAACAATCTACCCCAGTGAATGAAATTGATATGTCCCAGAAAGGGATATATTTGAACGAAGTAGCTAAGTGGTTTTGGCTACTATAACGAAGTAGAATACGGTAGCAGTAATCAACTGGTACGCATCGTAGTCGCAGGTAAGAAGTGCAGATCAATGGCGTAGTCTAATGGGCGTCGTTATACACTATCAAACTAAGGTTCTTACTCTCCTACACATCCATCGGTATTTATGACAGACACCAGCCAATCATATTCCAGTGAGGGGGAACACAGGTGTACGCATATTCCATTATATCAGAAATAAAGGGTTTGGTTCGAAATTCCAATCATCTGAAGGAGGCTGGAGCTTACAACAGCTGAAAAGTTGTGAATATGGCAACAAAGATGAGGTTAGCAATCTAAGTAATGCAAGTAAGCAGTTCTCTTCTTTTCATTTCAGTTACATTTTATTGTTATTCTCAGATTGTCTTTTTATGGCTGCTTGCAAGCAATATGGGTACTACTTGATTGGTCTATTTGTAAAGAAACAAAATAGGGAAATCTTTTGAGGGGGAAGAATACCTTGCTCTACCCTCGACATTTGTCAGAATTGACAAATACTGATTTTTACAATTTTATATGGAGTCCTCTTCAGTATATAAACACAGTGTCAGATCACTTCTTGACTTTTTAGAGTTATCTGTACTTTGTTTTTATTTACAAATGTCAAGTTTGAAACTGTGCTTCCATCACTATAACTGTATACTGTTATGAATTGGGAAAAAGACAACATCAGTAGTAGCTGGCCACTTGTATTCAAGGATACCTGTCTTCTAGGGCGGTAGGCCAATCCCTATTGCAGATGCTTGCTCAGGCGCATTTGTGTTTATTCAACAGCCACAGAGCCCACCTGTGGTTTATACTGCAACTATGCTGAGCATACCTTAGTTCCAGTTTCTAGGAAAGAGTGTGATCAACAATTGGAACAAGGCCAGCCTGCTCAAGCCCTTGGCCACCATGACTTGTGACTTTGTGCTAGCACAGCTATTGATGGCACGCAAGGGTTCTGTCTACCTAGTTTCACTCACAAGACTTGGGTCACCTGTGGTATGATTTTCAGTCACTTTCCAAAAGTGCCGCATGCTAGGATCAACATGTTAACATCAGGAAGTCTCCTTCCTGACAAATTGACCAGGGTGAGATTTGAACCCAGGTCTCCTGGTCAAAATGAGAATGTTCTAACCACTCGGCCAAGTGCCAATAACACATCAGTTGTACATGGTTATTAATAACATAAGCAATAGTTTTAGATTTGACATTTGTAAATAAAAACAAAGTATAGATAACTCTTTAAGAAGTCAGGGATTGATATGACACTGTAGTTATATTTTGAACATGACCCCCCATTTCTAAAATGATAAAATAATTTTTTGGATTCTGAAAAATGCCATGACATGAGGAAGATTTAAGGAATGCTAATCTGCAAAAATTATTTGACACAATTTTTTTTCCTATTTTTATGAGCAAACCAGTCAACTTAAATAATGCTGAAGTTTTTAAAACTATATCTGTTGAATTTATATATCATAACTGATTTAATTAATTTATATATAATAACAGATTTAATTTATATATATTTTATCTATTGTAACGGATTTAATTAATTAATGTATCTTAACGGATTTAATTAATATATAATTTATCTTAACAGAAGATATCAACCAATAGTGGATATTTAAGAACATGTGTACCAAAATCCAAAATAGCAACCGTTGCTTGAATTGCTGTGTTATTAGTATTTATCTTCTGAAAATTGTCTATGAAAAAGCTTTAAATAGAATCTTGATATTATTTTAAATACCAAAAAATGCTTAAATGTAATTATTTAAATGTTTCTCAAAATGAATGGTAACATGTACTGAACTGATAAACTATAATCTTTTTGTTAAGCTTTATTTTGATTTTACTTACAAAAGTAATGACCCTTTCGGGATAAATTAAATATGAAGGTAGGATAGAGGTAATAGTTTTTAGCCATTTTGCCCTTACCCTGATGCAATGACATTCTCGACACATTTGTCTGCAATTGGAGATTCATCTCCAGCTGTTCTGGTCAAACATTCTGCCTCCTGGCAGAAAAGATCCTTAGACAAAGGGGAGAGTCTTGTCTCAGGGGAAACAGCTACCTAACCCCGTTTTATACGGGTCTATGGGGAATTTTTGGCTGAGCCTATGGGCTTGGCTACCCCACATTAAATTCAGCCTTGTGCTACATCTGACTACACATTTGTTTTAACAGTCTCTTCTTGAAAACGTCTATGGAATAACTCTAGTGCACTGCCTTGTGTGTGCATGTGTGGAAAGAAAAAAAAAAAAAACCTGAATGCCTTCAAACATTTCTATATTCTCTTGATGCTTTTCATAACAACAGTCAGGTATTTGCATAAATGCTTTGACTTTTACAAATGATACTCTTCTGAGAGAGACCAAAAATTCTTTAGTGCAGGAGGAGGGGGAACAAATATGGAGTACTTTTTGCTATATTGAATGTATTTTATTTTTTTTAAAACCTTATTTTGGATGTTATGTAAGCAAAGATTAAAACTCTTTCTGTTCCTTATAAAATAGTTGTAACATTGAAACACCGGTTCTTGTCCGATCATTGGTTAAGTAATGTTGAGCCTGGTTAGTACCTAGATGGGTGACAACTTGAGAACACCAGGTGCTGTAAGCTTGAATGCGCAGGTGGTGTGATAGATATCAGCTCAGAATTGTAAATTGGAGGGAGAGCAGAACTTGTTACATTCAATTACCTTTGGGAAAGGTATGAATCCATCCTTTTTTTTCTCCCAGCTATGGGTTAAATAGCGAGAGAGATTGGGTCTTATAGCCTTGGTTGGCAACCAGTCTACTGCAGAATGTAATGGCAGTAACATTAAGAAAAATATGGTTAAACCTTTCCCAATATCCTCTATGTGCTGTGTTCCCTCAGGATGTGGGTGATTATGGCTCTCTACAGCTTTCCATCCTTTTCTCAGTATCATGATTTAATTCACAGGTAGTATAATTGTTTTTATTTTATTTTGTTTAAAAAAAACAAGACTCTTCACTATTGCCTTTGTTAAAGTTGTATTGTGTTTTCTTGCTTGCTATTATGCAAGTTTTCATTTAACCCTGCAGGGTGTAGAGGTGCATGTATAAGAAAGGGCTTTGACATAATTATCATGTATTACAACAGTCACAAGTCGTTAACATCTGAAGGGCACTCCCTTCTTAATTTCTGGTTGTATGTTGGGTACCTTTGAGCAATGAGTAATTTTTAATGCATGCACACATACACACATGCATGTGTGTTAGATGAATTTTAAAAAAAATGACTTGATTTCATAAGTATTTTCACCCTTTGAGAAAGAGAAAAAAATGTCATGTAACTAATTTTTCCTACATAGTGTAATTTTGCATAGTGCAATTTTTTCATATAGTGTAAACTAGCAGTAGAGCCCGGCGTTGCCTGGGGATGTAACAGTAAGAGATAGATCAAGTATGGACGATCATAAAGACTGAAAAATAAAATTGACAAAGATTATTGTTTAAGGTTGACGGACACACATGTCTTAATTAGTTTTTTTTTTTTTTTTTTTTTTTTTTACGAATTGGTCAAACCCAAATTCAAACAAAAACATTGTTTACAATCGTTATGAGTTATGGAAATAATACAGTAATTCCATCTATGTTTTACGTTAGCACAAGATTTCCTCCTTCCTTCCACACTTGCGTTGTAGAATGGCGCGTCCACTGATTACACCCTTCCTTTCTCGTTAAGCTAAATATAGTAGTAAAACTTTTCTTTAGTTTTAAATAAGTAAGTTATTGTAGTTTTATCAGCTCCTGTTGATATCTAACAAATTTAAATTACCGTTTTTCCCGCGTTTTTCTCTGACGTCACGGACAAACTAATCGTTTGAGTTCAGTCGGGCTAAAATTTTGATCCATGAAGTTGACTCATTTATCCCTCGTCAGTCAACCTTAAATACAGGCAGGGATATCTTACTGACAACAAATAATTCTTCATCCCTTTTGGCTCAAATAAAAAATTTTCTTCAAGACAATGCAACCAACAACAAATAAGTCTTTGTCCCTTTTGGCTCGTCAGAAATAATTTTTAGCAGCAAATTCAATGCCTGATCCCAAAATCTGAGATGACTGAACTTTCTCACTACCGTGAACCTGAACAAAAAAGGGGTATAAAAAAAACACAAAACACTACACACACACTTACAATACCCAAATCCACAGTAAGTACTTTTTTTATCTGTGCACATCTACACCTCGTGTTAACGAGTTCCTTTTTCCAGAACTTAAAAAAAAAAAAAAAAAAACTTTTCCCGCCTTTGTTCACCTTGCTATCTTATTTTTTTGAGCGAACATTTTCCCTGATCTCACACCACGAGATAATCTACTTGTTTTTCCAGTTAATAAAAAAAATTACACTTGTTTTTGAAAAAAAAAAAAAAAACAACTTTTCCGCCTTGTTCACCTTGCTATCCTACCAAAAAAAAAGTGAAGTTTTGTTGAAATCGGTTGAAAAATGTAGATAGCCTTTCTCTGTAATCTTTTTTACAATTTATGATTTTTACTTATTGAATACAGTAAAAAAAATTGCATATTTTGCTTATGGTGATTCATAATTAGAATTCTGATTTGAATATATTTTCCACTCGTTGTTTCTAATACAAAAAATATTAACTTTATTTGGGTTTATTAATTTATTACAAGTACTGTGTTCTTTCCTTAATAATTATCATCTTCGAAATATTGTTGTTTTTTGTCTATCAGATTTTTTACGTCAGCATTTTTAAATTATTTCTTAATACTTTCTTTTAAATATTGAATTAATTTCAAATAGAACCAATGCCTTATTGATCTGCCTTGTAACAAATTGCAAAGGGAATTGAAAAAACAGCCCTAAAGTACATGGAATTATCTTTCCTATTTTATCAAATCGAAAAAATGATTGATTATCTGTCCTTTTTTTTTTTTTTTTTTTCCAAAAAAAAAACATATTTTTAACGAAAATTTCAGACGTGCTAAGAACGATTAAAAATGTTAAAAAAAATACCCCAAAATACTTTTGATCTTTCCTCTTTAATAATAATATGAACATTAGACGATAAAATTTTGTTTTCGTCAAGTTCGGCGCTTTTTTCATCATGCTATGCTCTTTTGTTTACATTTTCGTGGGTGAGTTGTCCCCTTTCATTCTCAATGATGTGTCTTAATCGTGTTTTCAAAATGATTTTCTTAAAAAACAACTGTGTTTTTCCCATTTTCGCCCCCGTTAGAACCACCACAAGGTAATTTTATGTAGTCCTGTGAAGTTTTGTTGAAATCATTTAAAAAATGTAGGAAATTCGATCCAACATATAAACGTTACAGACACACACACACACACACAACCTGCGTTTTATAATAAGTAAGATTTATTCGCAGATGCTGAAGATAACCTACATTGAAAGTTAAGTTTTCTAGATGGGAAAGAAAAATGTCAAAAAAACATAGGTATAATAATAGAATATCTATATAATATGAAATTTTATTTTGTACAAAGTCTGATCAAAATTATCAGGACTGTTGTAACCTAGGGAAGGTTACTGAATAGAATAATCACACAAAGGTTGTTAATAAATGATAATACTTAGGACAAGAACAACACACATAAGATTTGTAGTGTGTGCATAGAAGTAGTCAGCTTCTAGAAGTGAGTCAAGTGAATTTCACAATGAATCTCCAAAATGCAGACCAACATACAGTATTCACTACTGTATTTATGGGAATGGAGACATACTCATTTGCTAAAGTAATGGAGAAAAAGTACAGACTGAAGCCACTTGGTACAAATTGAGGTTGAACTCTGTTGTATATGTACTCTGTTATAATGTTCTCACTCACTTCTGTTGTTTATAGAAGTACTTGGAAGGAAAGTGTGTAGAGTGTGGTTCCACTAGTGACCATGGCTTGTGCAGCAGTTTTTAACAAAGTACAACAATCCTCAGGTCTAACAACCATCATATTCCCCAGATCACACCTTGACTTTTTCCTCTTTCCAAATATCAAATCCTTTTTTAAAGGAACAACGTTTTAAGACACTATTTGGACTATTGTCCTCATCTTTATCGCCATATTTATTACAACATTTTGGCCATTGTACACTCTGGCCTTCTTCAGGTGGTTGGAATGTCAAACTTAACCCTTTATTTCGCTCACTGGGGTAGACTGTTCTAGTTCCACGTGCCATGTTTAATGGATGTCAGTTATCAGTTATCTCCTGTTAATTTCCCTCTGAAAGTTCTCCACTGCCTTCACCGGGTATTGAACTCAAACTCTTTGGGTCCTGTCACTGGATTTAATCATCGCCTTTATCCACTGTGCCATGTATCCTTGAGGGAGAAGGCCGGAGCATACAACAGCTGAAATGTTGTAATAAATATGGTGACAAACATGAGGAATAATGTAAATAGTGTAGATAATACCTCAGAAATATAGACAGATACTGAAGATTTCAAGATGTTCGGGAAATCCAAGTAAATGTGATATGGCAGCTGCTCACTATCTCAGAAAAGGAGTTCCAGAAATGATTCCATCAATGGAAATGATGCTAGATAATGTGTCTAGCTTCAGAAGATGACTACTTTGAAGGAGATTAAATGCTGAATTGATATATGTTGTAGTTTTTATTTTTATAGCACCAGTCCCGATACATTTTTATCAGACCTTGTATATCTTACCTACTAAATGACCAAAACAGTACATTGTAGCTAGAAGTAATTAATATTTTTCTCAGTAAAAACTTGAAGATCTTACAAATCCCCTGTACTGTAACTAATTATATTGATTTGAAACAGTAACATTAGCGGTTTCCCTAAAAGAAAACATTTGGAATTCATTGACCAAGAAGCTACTCTCTGTTGAAATTGATAAACAATTTTTCAGGAAAATGGATTTCTCAAGTTCATTAGCTGTTATTGTTCTTTCTAGTATTGATGGGGAGTTTCCTTCCTAACTTTTTGTTTGAAGTAGTGTGGAATGTCAACATCTTGATTATCTCATTCTTACTGTATTTACTTCTTTGAAAAAAAAAAAAATGAATATTCTTGGCTAAGTTATATTTTATATTTAGAGGAAGCGTTTTCACTATTTTAATACAAAATTTATTATTATTGCTTTTTATCCTGTGTTGCTTCTTTATAATTATTGTTTTATTACACGTTATTGTTGCTTTTTATAAAACTCTGGGTAGATAGCTTTTTACTGCTTGAGCAAAATGGTGAAATTTAGAAAGGAGTAACTTTCACAACAACATTCTTGGCATCAAGCTTGTCTATAGTAGCTATAATTGGGAAAAATTTGTTTGTTCATTTGCTATATATAACCAAACCATTTATGACCAGTTTCTGTCTGTGTGTGTAATATATATGTATAGGGCCCAGATGAAATTTTTAACCTAAAAAAATCCTTTTTGTTCCTCATGGGAAAAGGTGGTGTCTACCTCTTTGCTGTTGTATGGATTTATCTTTCGTGTTAACAATTACCATTTGTAACCATTCAGTGTAACACTACAATTTATTGTTTATTATTACTGTCCAGAAAGAATATAAAAATGTTAGTGTGGTTTGAGAAAGTAATATCACAATAATCTTATTTATTTTTTTTTTATTTTCACATTATTTCTTCA